CGAGAGCTCGGAAAAAGAACTCACGATTGTGCATCATGGAACTCATCGTCCTCCTGAGTCTCACTATCGGTCCTCCGCAGGAGATCGTCCTTTCGTGGCTCTGGTTCGGGGTTGGAATTAAGGAGTTTGCTGGGAGGCAGTTCCTTGGCGAAGGCCTCACGGTTCTCGGGTGAGATCGCACTAGGTTGCGAATAGGGCTTTTCGAGAGGTGGCATAGGTGGGTTGCTAGGATTGCTGGGGATGCTGCTGTTTTTGAAGGGCGGGGCATGAGTCGATGTTCCGTCGAAGTTGCTGGGAAGACCTACGCTCTGCTGTTCGTGTTGTGTCACTGGTTGCGACTGCACGCTTGTAGGCTCGGACGGTACTGGCTGCAACGTTTCCGTAGACTGTGCTGACTGTCCAACGGGTACTTGTTCCGCTGGTTGTACAGCTCCTTGTGCCTGTGGTAGATGCGCTTCACTCACTCGCGATGGGATGTTGAATTGTTTGTCTGGCTTCTGACCCGGGAGGATCGCGTAGATCTGCAGGATCTGCTTGACGACCTCGTCAGGCGTCTTGCCATCACTACATCCTGTTAGCACGAAACGCATACGGAGAGTTTGCAGGGTACTGACATCTTAGCATTGATGATCCAGTCGAGGTCTTCTTCGCCCTCTTCGCTGCCGCCACTGCCGCCCTTTACGCGTCTGAAGAGCTGTGGGTGCCAGTCCACGCCTTCGCTGTTTCTTTTCGCAGCTTCCTGTCTTTGCATGTCTTCAATCTTAGCCTTGGCATCGGTTGCGACGTCCTGATCTCTCCGCTTCACAGCCTCGGTCACATCGTGCCAGAGCTTTTGCGATTCGCGGTCGTTTTGTTCCTCGAGAGGCCGAGCCGACGGTGGGGTATGTTTGGTATGTGCTGCATCGAACAGGAGCTCCTTTTTGCCAGTCTACAAATGGTCAGTACATGTTCTGACCCTGCAAGAGTGAGAACCTTACTGTCAGATCCTTGATGTACATCTCCTCGTTCCACTGGCCCGAGAGCTCGTAGAGGTTCTTGCCGCTGGAGTCTTTGATGTAGCCACCGATAGCGTTGTAGGATCCACTGAAGTAACCCTTAGTCTTGAATTCGAGATCGGCAGTGAGACCGGTCTCGGGGCAGCGAATGTATGCGTGGTCGCCAAGCTCGTACTTCATCGTCCCGAAGAGGATACCGCGCGCGTACATGTTGGGTTGAGTGACGAAACTACCTGTCGTGAGCCTCAAGCTGTGGTGTTCATGCGCTAGACTTACAATCGCTCGCCGGTATTTAGTAGCCGCAGAACTGCAATGCCCTCCATCATACTCGCCGCGGAGTTGCCGAGGAACTTGCTGCGAGGCTTGAGGGTGCCGTCTATGCGGATGTTGTGCTCAGGGGCCATGAAGAAGTAGCTCGACTTGGGCGGGTGGTGCGACGTCTGTTCGGAGATGTAGTAGCCCTTGGTGCCGTCCGGGTAGTCCCAGTAGCCTGTGAAGATTTCACCCAGGATGGGGTTGAGCGGCTTCTTGACTCCCCTAAGTCACATCAGTTGTTGCTTGTGGGCGCAAGAAGAAGGCGGAGATGCATACGGGGGCTTGATGTGCCAACCACTCAGGTAGAACTTTGTCACTGCTACGAATCGCTGTACGGGGTCTTCCACCTTGGTTATAGGGAGAAGTGTCTCCGGATGTGCCATGAAGCTGCCTGATAGTCAGCCTATGCACCCGTCGCCAAGCCTAGATGCGCTACACACTTTGTTATGCGTTCCAGCATCGATCGCGGTTCGAGGATGAAGGTGGGAAGCGTGACGCGGCTCAAGTCGGCGCCCGGCCGCAGTTGGGATATGATGTGGGAGAGCATGCTGCCCTGCTCGGAATCCATGACGGTCTCGTCCTCCTTGGTCGTCTCGTCGCCGCCCTCGTGTCGTCGTGTCTCGTCTATGGAAGACCCGCGGCTACCTAAACATTCAAACTTGCATCAGCTTCGGTACGGCCGGAATTCGGGAGATGACGCACTGGTGAGCGACGACCGCCGGTGTTTGGAGACTATAGGGAGGTGCGGCATGGTGAATACAGGCCGCAGAGGGAGAGAAAGGGAAAAGTGGTGGAGGTGAGGCGGGCAGAAGCAGGCAGCGAAGTACCGGCAGAGGATGTCTTGGTGCTTCGGGTGCCGGCGAGGGTGAGCTTAGTCGCAGCAATGACGATGGGGGCTTCACAAAAACTAGCGACCCCGCGCGTTGGACCTGTTTAGCAGCAAACTGTAAACATCAACAACGCTCGACCGTGGAAGGGCGTGCAGTGAGGGGTCCAGGGCGCCAGGCGACACAGCATGCAGTCTTTTGAGCATCCAGCTGACTGGGCCTAATATAGCGATCGCCAGGCTGTGTTCTGCAGGCCTGCTGCCCCATGCCCCGCAGTCGGCACATGCCAAAGCGCCGCCATACGAAGTACGCGACACGCGCATGCGGCACGGCTCGGAGCACGACTATTCTTCCGAATACCCAGGACCTGCGATTCCAGGAACAGTGCCACCAGATACAGTGGGGGCCGGCCCGGATGTCGCGCGATGATAATCTTGAATGCTACGCGTCCGCATTCCGGGAGAACCGGGCGCGAGAAGGATTCATGGCGATGACGTCGCTGTCAAGGGGTGCACATCGCCAAAGATCTGACGAGACACCTTATATTCGATTACTATCAGACATTCATGACTGTCGTCTAGTCCAGCACACTCTCACCGGCCTTGCTTGCATCCTTCGCGCCTTGGTCCTGAGTCCGCTGGACTTGCTCCTTGACCCGCTGGACCTGTGCATCGTCCTTGGCTATAATCGTCACCCCAACCTTCTTGTACTCCTTGTGGACCTCCTCCATTGCTGACGGATCGACTGCCCTTGTCGCATCGCCGACTACCCATGTTTTGAAGCCCTCCTTCTGTGCATCGATCGCAGTGTACTTGACACAGTAGTCGCCTGCGAGACCGACGACAAAGACGTCGGTGATTTCAGCCTTGCGCAGTGTCTCTGCAAGATCGCTCTTGGCCACAGATGGGCGCTTGAACGGATCCCCGAACGCAGAGTACATCTCCACGCGCTTGTCCTGGCCCTTCTCGACTATATGGTCCACCTTGCTGACATCCAGCTCCGGCAGCAGCTCAGAGCCTTTCGTGCCCTGTACACAGTGGTCTGGCCATAGCTGAGTTTCCTGCGTCTCGTCTGGGTTGTTCGGGTTCTTGATAGTGAATGTGGATTCGAAAGGCTTGTTGTTCGGCGGAGAGTGGTTCGAGGCGAAAGAGACGTGGTCTTGGGGATGGAAGTCTTTCGTCGCGACTTTGAGAGCAAAGGGATATGTGAGGAACTCGTTGATGGTCGGGACGATGTCGCGTCCACCTGCTACTGCGAGCGCTCCGTTCTAAGCTTGTTAATTCGGAGGCAGCCATGCGAATGGTGGGTGCTTACTGGCGGGCAGAAGTCTTCCTGTACGTCGACGATGACGAGCGCTGGTTTGAAAGACATGCTAGGTAAGTAACCAAAATTATCAAGTTAGTGCGTTAGTGGGTGAAGATGTCTAGAGTGGTCCCAAGGTTGAGAGCAGAGTAGCGAAGGCTGTAAGGTAGAGCAGTCGTGCGTAGCACCGTCTTATAAATAATCACCAATGTCTAAGATCAATGCAGCGTAGGTCATGATGCTGCAGGTGCATGGCGCAAGCCGTAGAAACGAGCCGTTGATGAATCAACGATCGCAGACCACGAGGCAGAAGCTTGCCAGCAGCGTCACCAGCATTCTGTGGCTTGCCTTACCTAATCACAGCGCCAAGACGTCTGCCGTCGGCTCGTCAATTCACGACTGACGAACATCACCAGCTCGATAACCACGCCCACCTTCTCCACTCCACCCCAATCGTCCCGCCATGTTCGTCCAGCGCTCTGCTATCGCCGCAGCAAGGCGTGTGGCCCCCCGCGCCATTGCGACCCGCCGCACTTTCACCACCACCTTTGCCCGCTGTATGTTTCGCGAGGAGCTGTCGTACGATGTGCCATTGACACCACAACAGGGGAGTCCACCGAGAGCAAGGAGGCCAAGGAGAGCAACATTGCGCAGAAGGAGACTGGTCACTCGGCCAACTCCCCCAGCGTCCTCGCAGGCTTCAAGAAGCTCGACCGTATGTTGCGCCCGCACTTCGTCATCCGCATTGCCGCGGCTACGATGGGCCAAAACCATCAATTGCTGACGAGATCACTTCTGTAGAAATCAAGACCGAGGAGGACCTTCTGCCCCCTGGTGCGCAGCCCGGTACCGTTCCTACCGATGCCGAGCAGGCGACCGGTCTCGAGCGTCTCGAAATTCTCGGAAAGATGCAGGGTGTCGATATCTTCGACATGAGGCCATTGGATGCCAGCCGTCTCGGTACGTGATGCCGCCCCCGAAAATATCAGGAAAAAAGAGCTTGCGCGAGTTTGGGCTACTAGTGGCGTGATGTGATGCTGATGAAATGCAGGTACGATGGAGGACCCCATCACCGTCAACTCGGCCGGTAACGAGCAGTACGTTGGTTGCACCGGTTTCCCCGCCGATTCGCACAACGTCCTCTGGATCACCCTTACCCGCGAGGAGCCCAAGTCCCGCTGCATGGAGTGCGGATCCGTATACGAGATGAAGTACGTTGGCCCGGCCGACGACGCCCACGGCCATGACCACCACCACGCCGAGAACCAATACCCCAGGCCCAAGAACATGGCCGACTTCCTCAAGCCCGAGTACAGGGAGTTATAAGCTTGGGCGACTTTCTCGTAAATTATAGAGTGTATCTATATGGTCGCTAAACCTGTAGCATAGTATGGTGGAGAAGTTTCTTTTGAGTTGAATGCATGCATCCGACCCGTTTGCCTGGTATTTCGAATATTCTTCTCTCCTCCCTCGGGTCAGGCTCGCATGTCAGCCCGACGCGTCGAGGCTCCTCAACATCTGATCACCCCTAGTGGTTCATTGCAAGGAACCCTACCCTGGCTCATGACCCTTTCAGCGCGATAACACCCAGAACAACACTTTCGATACCTTTCTTCTCCGCTGTCCTCCTCTCCGCGTCCGCTTCCCCGTTGAGGCCACCACCATTCTTTCCCTTCTTCCCACTATCTCCTCCACCCAGCTTATACACCTTCTTCACCTTGTCAACATCACACCATTCACCCAGTTCCTCACCATTCTCACCCATCTCCACCCTCGTCCCCTCTACCGCACTGCCCAAATGCTTACTCACAGATTCATTGGTGATGCTCTCATCTTTCTCATAAGCGCCCTGCTCCCCTGTTGACGTTGACGGAGACAAGGGTAGCTTGACAGCAATCAGTGCGGTCGTGGTATCAGCGATGCCGAATTTCTTATATGATTCGCCAATGTTGTTGTTGGGCGAGAGGCGGAATACTAGCTCGGAATGTGGAGTGCGCGTTTTGGCACGGTTGGTCAGGTGAGCGTGTAAGGCGAGGAATGTGGCCGAGAGCAGGTGGTGTGGTGAGAGTATCTGGGGTGATCTGTTAGTACCGAGGGTGAATGTCGATCCATCGTAGATGGCGATTCAAATGAGCCGTGACAACAGGGTAGGGCTAAAATGTGGCATGGCTTTTGTCGTTGGGATAAGTTAGTGCTTAGGGTTATCCAGCCTCATCAGATGCCAGACTGATTTACTCATGCGGTGTGATGAGATTAACCATGATGCAAAGATGCCGCGGGGAAAATATCCACGCCTCGCAATCTCTTATCACGAAACTTTATTGACTTGTGGGGTGTTGTTTTGATCCAGGTGACTCAGCGGACCCTGACAGGCGGGGGTTGCTGGAGGCGCAAAAAGCAATGAACAGGTAGTGAACCACGACCTACCATGGATGCATCCAAGAAGGCATAGTCGAACTCTGGATTGGCCTCGAGTAGTTGGCGCCTTAGGAAGGAGGCGTTTTTGACATCCTTGAATAAGGCCACGTGGACAGGGAAGGCCTCGTAGTGCGGGATTGTGAAGGTTCGCACGGACGCCATGTTAGATGGGATTGGTGTTGGCGTAAGTTTGGGTGTTGAAATGCACCACGTCGCGGGGGCGGAACCTTGTTGGCGATGTGATGTCGTCGTGCGTGTTTCGTCGTGTGATGAAAACTCTAGTGGCGTCTTTGTCGTTGATGATGCTCTTTGGAGATCAGGGAGATGGACGCTGCTAGGCGGTTCGTCAGTTGTCGATTTGCATTGGCAATCTCCAAGGATATCAGATCGTGGGTGAGTCTAAAGCTCGACGGCCGCTTTGGGCAGGAGCGGGGACGGCCAAGCTAGATTTAGTCCCAGAGAATGAAGGTGGCACGGCGAATCAGGATGGATCATCGTGTCGATCGCCAGAGAACAAACTAAATTCGCCGAATATGTCAGGGCAGGCACCGTCACAGCCGTCTAGAGGTCCAGGTTTCTGAGCGCCATGTGGCCAATAAAGGGCGGACTGGACTCGATAGCTGGAGGGCTTGCGGAGAATGGGCCTGTTCCCTAAGACGCATCGCCGAGAAACGCGCTTTCACTCGCACCCTTTGACTCCCAGCGCAGCCAGCCCTCACTTCCTCTTCCACTCTCTCGCAACCCGGCCGACGAGACTGCACAGAGGTCGCGCATCGTGCAGCGACGCTCAATTCCCGCGCAGCCGCAAGCCTCGCTAGAAGTCATGTGTCTTTTGTTTGACAGGTGATAGTCGCAAGCCACCCGAGGCGCACCACCTTTGCTGGGTTTACTTGCATCGGTCTTCTCCATCGGCATTTCCCGTCTCGTGCCTGTTTCGACGTGCATTACGAAAAGTATGGCCACCAAGCGACCCCCGGACGATGACCCCAATCTCGTCAACAAGATCCAGCGAATCGAGCATGCCGACCCGCTGAGCCCACAACACCGCCCGCCCTCCAACAATGACTTCTCCGGCTCTGTCAAGAGGAAGCTCGCCGACTCCAAGCGGACGGGTCAGGCGTGCGATCGATGCAAGGTACGTGATGTAGTTAGTCGTACGCGATGAAGGAGTCTTGGTGCATGTCAATTGGTGTGGACGGTCGTCGTCTCACAACATTGGCAACCACTGCGCCAGCGACGTCATTGCCTGGACGCGCCTTCCTAAACACCATGACACCACTAACCACCACGGCAGGTGCGCAAGATACGCTGCGATGGCCGCCCCGAGGGCTGCACTCCATGCGAGCAGAACAGGACGCCCTGCCGCACCACCGACCGCATCACCGGCCGCGCCACTGTCCGCGGCCATGCCGAGGCCATGGAGTCGGAGAACTCGTACCTGCGCGCCCAAATCGCTGACCTCCAGGCCCAGCTGAAGGAGCACAACATCGAGCCCCGCGCGCCGCCCGCCTACAATGCCCTCCAGCCGCCCAGCCACCCGTGGTCGTCCGCCCCCAGCGACAGCCAGGCGTGGAACGATGGCCCGCGACGCACCAGCACCTCACCTCTGCCGGGCTACGTGCCAGCCGGCACTCCAGGCAAGATCGAGACGCTGCCGCAGTTCAAGCACGGTTCCATCGGCGACAATTATCTCGGTGTTGCTGCAGGAGACTCACTCTTGAGCCACATCAAAGGCACCTCACTGTCAATCTTCGGCACCGAAATCAACATTACCGACTTCATGGCAGGCGAGGAAGAGTACGAGAGCTCGCCCATGTCCTACACGACACTGATCGACATTGCAATCGGCAGTCGCCATGTCGACGAGCCCCAACTACCGCCATACCCGGAGCTGCAAGAGTATGCCATCTGGTATCTGCGTTCACTGAACCCCTACACGATGCTTGTCCACAAGCCGGTCTTCATGGATTTGGTAGGCCGACCACCCATTACCACAGTGCGCTCCGCTAATGCCCACAGATTTGGAGATTCGGCAACGACTCCAGCTTCGTTCCTACTGCCCCTCAGATTGTGACGGTTCATTTGATGCTCGCGACCATCACCTACCAGATTGCGACCCGGAACAGCCAACACAGCGGCAGCACGATGCTGGACGATTCGCATGCCCACTACATGTACGCGCTGAGTTTCTACAAGGAGCTCATTCGCGGAGACCACGGCTGGGAAGACGTTCAAGCCATGGCCATGATATGCCACCATCTCCGGACCTTCCCCAAGCCCGGTGCGGCATGGATCATGACCTCGACCGTCTACTTGTTTGCTGTCCAACTGGGTCTGCATAGATCTGTCAAGGTCTGGGTAGACGGCACCGGAGAACTCGGCAAGCTGGATATCGAGATGAGGAAACGAGTCTACTGGACGCTGCACGCGCTGCTGGTCAACCTTAGCGGAAAGCTTGGACGGCCGATACCCATCAGCATAAGTGACATCGATGTCGAATTCCCGGATCCAATGAACGACTGTCTGCCTGGCGAGGAAGGCAAGCTGGACTCTTTCCATCAATGCTCGTTCCAAGTTGGCATCCAAATGGCCAAATACATTGTCTGGGAAACAGAACTCTACAAGATCATATATGCTGTTCGACATTCGCCGAGAACATACCTGGAGGGCTTGAAACGCCTCGAAGCCGGCATACAACAGTGGAAAGACGACCTCCCTTACGAGTTGCGCGACCCGTCGCATGCGTCTGAAGATGACCACATATTCGCCTTGTATCTCGAGTACTGGTATCAGGCGTTCAACCTGCTTCTTCACCATCCAGCTGTTTGCAGGTCTACTGACACGGCCGTCATCAATTCCAACCTGGACAAGTGCTTGACTGCATCGCAGAAGATGCTGCACAACTGTACGGCGATGATGAACAAAAAGAGTCTGGACATTCCCTGGATCAACACGGTCGTTTACATTGCCGCTGCCTTCACCACGCTCTTCATCTCGTCTATGCGGCAAGAGCAAATGTCGCCTGTGGATATGACAAAGCTCAAAGGCGACATGGCAGCCTGGGTCAATGTGCTTGGCGAATGCGACCAGTTTCTGGGATCCGGAAACAAGCTCAAAACAGCCGTCGCAAGGATCGTCGACCAGTCGCTTAGTAACATCAACGATAATATTGTCAAGCGAACTGCGACCGAGTCTCTCGCTCGCGTAGCGATGCATGCTCCACCCCGATCGACGAATGCCGCCCCCACGTATGACAACAGCGGGTACCGCGACCAGTACACAACCTCATCCAGTTCACCCACGGATCCCACCCTCACTTCACAATCGGTAGGCCCGTACAGTGGTCTTCCGGGAAACAGTACACATCCATACAGTCTTGGCACCCCGGTGGCTCTCCCTCAGCATACGAATAGAACGTACGAACAACACGCATACAGCAACAGCGATGAGACAAGCATGCATGCCAACCATGCAGCAGCACTGGCAGGAACAGGCTCGGGTAGCATGTCGCAACCCTCAACTGATGCGTACGCCTACAGTAATGCGCAAATTGCCAACAACGGCCACCAGCCCGCGTACGCGGCTAATACCTATGCTCCTCAAGACTGGAGTCAATGGACACGAGCATACATGCAGCCACACAGCCAGCCTGGTGAATATCTAAATACAGCAACCACTCTCATGACACTGGGTCGAGATGGTGCGTCCCAGGGAACCGGGAGCGACGGCCAAGGGCTTGTCCAAACATCCGGAGTCCAGGGACACGCTCCCACACATTGGCCAGAGCTCGCATTCCCGAATGCCGCGACTGGTGGCAGCCACATGGCTCAACATTGAGCTCGGAAACACGACACATGGCACATAGAAGGCTGTGTCCCTTCGGCTAATCTACATGGGTATTTGATCTTTATGGTCCGGCGTAGTGGCAACCTTCGATACCCGGCATCTGGAACACTTTGTGGGGTTAATGTATGGATATGAAGCGGCTCTCTGCAAGCTGCATGTGTTTGGTAATTTTAATTGCGAGATCTTTTCTTATGTATAATACTTCGGTTGGAGGCCAGACTCCATTCTTCGGAGAACGAACGCCGAACACGACACGACGACCGGCTGATGTTGGTCAGCAAGGGTTAGATGTGACGTTGTTGTTGAAGGGATACTGGATATTTACCGAGTTGCAAACAAAGGACCATTGCAGTCGAAACAATGAAGATAATGATAATATCGAAGTAGGCCCTTCTCTGTAGCAGCATGTCTGATAACAATACTTCCACAAACCATGGGTCTCTTCCCACGAACATCCACGGGTCGGCGGTACTCATCGCCACAAGATCTACTCTTCGTCCAGACCACACCCAGGTAAATTGGCCACCCGTCGCCTCGGTGCTACAGTGCGGACCCTGGAGAGTGCGCGCATCAATCTAGCAGCAGCACTAACCCGTGCCACCTAGGCTAAAGTAGGAAGCCGACTTGACTACTTGGCACGACCCCACCAATCGACCTTCCATACGAGCACCAAGCCCGATAAGCTTCTGTACTTCGATCCACTGCGCTTGGTCACTACGTAAACCTCCTTCTGTTTTGGAGCTGGCGGTACAGACAAGCACGACAGATCTCCTAAGCTTTTTTCGGTGCCATCCGTGGTTTAATAGGCGTTGAGTTTAATGACTCGGTAAGCCTTGCAGCCGATGATCCTGTGGCCCTTACCAAGGGCCGCAGGATGGGCGGCAAAACGGTATAGCGTCGAACTTAGCTATGTATATATGGGCGGCCTGAGGATGGCGAAGATGGATCTCTACGCCGTTCTTTCGTCCTTGAGTCGCTGTCGTGGTCTGTGCCGTCGATTGGGCTGTGTGTCTGACAACCTTGGTACCGAAGCTGCGCAGAAGAATATCTTCGCTCTTCTCCCGACACCCATACCTCACTCGCGCGGATCTCTTGCGGAGGTAATCCGGGTACAACAGTTCCTATCCACGCATCGTTACTTCTTTCATTCACAACATGCGGTCCTCGGTCTCCGTCTCGGCAGTGGCCCTCGCCCTGTTGCAGGGCACCAACGCCTTGAATGCGGCCATTCAGCGCAAGCTTAATCTGCTTGCCGATATGGGCATGAACCCAGATGGCTCGGCCATGGTTACTTTCTCCGACGACGCCGAAAACAGCGCTTTCGATGCCACGGCTTTCAAATCTCTCAAGATTGCGACTACGTCAAACAGCCCGGCTGTGTTGGCTGCCGCGCCGCTCAGAAACATCACTCCGGAATATGTCGAGCTGCCACTGGACCACTTCGCCTACAAGAAAGGCCAGGATCCTTCGTACCATGGCACATTCTTTAATAGGTACTGGGTCAACATGGATGCGTACAAGCCTGGCGGTCCCGTTTTCCTCTACGACACAGGCGAGGCAGATGCAGAGCCGGGTGCGCTGACCAGGCTGCTAAACGAAACCAGCTTTTTCAAGCAGCTCGTCGATGACTATAACGGTATCGGAATCGTTTGGGAGCACCGCTTCTACGGAAACTCAACACCCACGCCTATCGACCTCAACACGCCAGCCGAGGCATTCGAGTTCCTGAACACGGAGCAGTCGCTTAAAGATGTCGACGCCTTTGCTAGGCAGTTCAGCAGGAAGGGTGTCAATGCTACGCTCACACCCGACAAGACTCCCTGGGTTTTCGTTGGTGGCTCGTACCCCGGTATGAGGGCCGCTTTCATGCGCAACTTGTACCCCGACACTATCCACGCGTCTTGGGCCTCTTCAGCTCCCGTCGAAGCTTCCGTTGACCAAAGCTTCTACTTCTCACCTATCTGGCGCGGTATGCATGCCAAGGGCTTCGGAAACTGCTCGGAGGATATCCACGCTGCTGTTAACTATATGGACAACATCATGGACACGGACTCACGCGCAACCGCCAAGCTCAAGGAGCAGTTCCTTGGTCTTGGAGCTGCCAACAACTCTAACCCCACCTTTGCTGATGCTCTTACGACCCCCTTCTACCTATGGCAGTCTTACGGTATGGAAGGTGGATCTCTGGGTCTCCGTCAATTCTGCGACTACCTCGAGAAGGACCCCAAGACGAACACTACAGCTCCCGCGGAGGGCTGGTCCAAGAGCAAGGGCGCGAAATGGACGGTTGATCGATGGGCGAGCTACCCTGTCTTTGCCAAAAACACGAATGATTACTTGGAAACCGAGTGCTCGGGCAAGTTGAACGTGACCGGTAACTGTGACCTGAACCAGAGGTTCACAGATCCCGCTTCGATTGCTTGGACGTGGCAATACTGCACACAGTGGGGTAAGTCTTCGTCCTCTCAAACCCAACTTCCCTCCTTGCATAATACTAATTTACCCAACAGGATACTTCCAATCCGCCAACTTGGGATCCCAGCAACTCGTCTCCAAGTACAACTCGCTTGAACACCAAAAGGACATCTGCCACCGCCAGTTCCCCAACGCTCCCAAGTCGCTCTTCCCTGAGTGGCCAAACACCGCCCGCACCAACAAGATCTTCGGAGGCTGGGATATCCGTCCTTCAAACACCTACTGGTCCAACGGCGAATTCGACCCATGGCGCACTCTCTCCCCCGCTTCCGCTGAGCCCTTTGCACCCAAGGGCGTCCAAGTCATCCAGGACGTGCCCAAGTGTGGAGTGAAGACTAGCAGGAACGAGCTGTTCGGCCTGGTCCTCAAGGACGCGCAGCATTGCTACGATTTCAGGACGACGGGTTCTACCGTGCCCGATGGACCCGTTAGTCGGACGTTATTCAGGAAAGCGCTAAGCGAGTGGCTGCAGTGCTACAAGCCCAAGAAGGGCCAATCGAAGCCGTGGAATGCCTAGATCCAGTATGCAGGTCTGGGAAAGGGCCGTCCCCTTGCTTCGGGTAGAAGAGGTGGCATTGCTACGTATTGTTCTTCCCTGCCACACCTTACTTAGACGTCATGATAAGTCTTATCATTAGCATCCTACAACTTTGACCTCGCCACGCTGTCGTGTTCTTGCCCTCGCTTTTTATCCAAGCGAGCTTCCCATTCCCAGACTTCCCCTGTAAACCTATCCTTCTCCCACGCCTCGTACACATTCCTCTTCTCTTCCTCGCTACTAACCCCACACATCTCCCCCCACACCTCCAACTGCTCTTTGAACCCCGGGTTGGGATCGCACACCGGTCGTCCCTCACATAGCTGGTCCAACGCCGCGGCAGGAGTGATGTTGTACTTCCAGATCAAGTATGCGCAGACGAGTGTTGCGGACCGGGATTTTCCCATTGCACAGTGGATGAAAACACCGCCTTTTTCATGATTGAGGGCGGAGTCGATGTACTGGACGGCGGGGGTAAAGTCTTGGAGCAGGTTGGTGTTTGGGTGGTCTTCTGAGCGGATGTGGAAACTGGAGACGAATGTCATATTAGTAAACTGATATACCACCCTTGGAATAAATACAATACATACTAAACACATCAGTTAGCACACATACATGAGCTGAGTTTTGAACAGTGTTCCACGCTACCTGTTTCAAGTGCCTAAATTTCTCCTGTAGTAACGGATCGTAATCAATCACAGATAGAACGTGCGTTATGCCTGCTTTGTCTATCAGGTCGCCTTGGTATAGGGCGTAGAGGCCGCCGATGTAGAGTTTACCCGCCCGGGGGACGAGATCGACCCAGCCCATGCCTGTGTGTCCTGTGCTGCCGTGGAGGAGGAAGGACATGTAGTCGGGAAGCTAGATGAGTAAGAGGGAAACTGCGAAGAGCTGTAGAATGGGTAAAGTGATGGGTGTGCGATGGTGTTGATGGCTATGGGAGGACGAAAGTGTACGGTCGCGGAGAAAGTACCGAGGTACGATTGGAACAGGACATGGTTTACTTCTCGATGTCATTCCTACATATCTTCGTTCGAGCCTGTCCTCTTCTTTCGCATACCTTCCATTGGCATGTGGTAGGTATCGTCGCTGCAATGTCCGAACGGTCCTGTGTGAGAAGTGTTGCCCGCAATCGGCCAATGACAGCCAGTGAGAGGAGGCCCCACGTGCGTAGAACGCTAGACGGGGGACGCGCCTTCCAGCCTCGCCATGAGACGCGTCAAACTTCACACTTACTATCTGCCATCATCACGCACACTTCCAGAAACCGCGCGACAAACTGGCTCGTACGTCGCGGACCATGGTGCATCTGGAATATAAGAATGGGCTTCAACACGCGGGCCCGGGCATGACGTCAACGCGACTCTACCAGATTGATCGAGACACCATCATGCGCTTACCCATGCAGATCAACATGAAGATGGTATATCCGCGTATTGATTTCTAATAGCAAAGCGTCGCTCAGGTGGTATGGCGTCCTGGACCTACTGTTATTTCCCTTACATATTCTCGAATATTTCCCGTCGTTTCAATCCGTTAATGTTTCTATTGTTCAGACGGAGAAGTCGCATTCTCAACGCGAACATTGCCCGCATGCATGCACAGCAGAAGAGCATCGATCGTTCGCGCGGTATGCATCATTGGTCTACTCCATGTATACGTGCCGGCGCTGAGAGTAGGCTAACGTCGTGTAACAATGGCTCGCCTTTCCCGCGTCTACCAATGCGAGACTGTTTCTGTTCCTCATCTAGTGAAGGTGAAAACATACCCGAAGTGGTTAGCCATAGCTAGACGGTGGCCCAAGCAAACAAACACTCGCGCAGAAACCTTTTCGACGGCTTTTTCAGGATTTTCAGCTACACCACCCGCACGACATGTCGTCCCTACGGCCTGCACATATTGTGTTGAACCCGTACTTCTATCCGGCGGGCAATTCACCAGCCGTGTGCCTGACCCAAGATGTTCCGCCCGAGAGAGATGCTGCTCTGCTTCTGCTGGGTTGCGGCGACATCCGTAACATCTTGTTCACCATCTATAGCGGTTCGGGTACAGGTGAGCAGCTTGACATCGACTTTGACAAATCGTACTAATCTAGACAGACAACCGCCGCCTCGATTTCACTTGTTGCGACCTAGAAGCCGAGATAATCGCTCGCAATGCGCTCTTGCTTACCTCTATACTTGACGATCCGACCGGCGATCACACGCAGCAGTTGTGGAACATCTACTATCATAACTTCCTCGACTCAGCGTCCGCAAGTCTGCTACAGACTCAGGCTGCCAAACTGGTCGCTCAGGCTCAATCACCCGAAGCTTGGGAAACCGGCTCTTATGCGCAGTTTGTCGAGTTCGGCGACAGCACCACGTTCGCGAAGGTCCTCGAGCTCTGGAAAACATACGCTACACCGCCGGCGGACAAGAAGCAGCACATACAACTACAAGCAAAGTTGAGAGCGCAGTGGCGCGCCGCGAAGAAGTGGCAAGAAATCAAAGTCGAGCCTCACGCATTGCAACTCACTGGCGGCCGATCGTTTGCTCCCGTCCTTCAAGAAGCACCAGCCGCACTAAACAAGACGTATCGTACATACTGGCGAACTGGGACTTGTCTGGAGAACGAGGAGATGACCAGTCAACTGACCATCGCGAATCCGATGTTCATGTGCCTTCGCGACGGCCTTCAGCTTCACTATGGAACCAGCCCACTACTAGGGTTTCATCATGCTGCAGCTTATACCCGACTATCCACCGAATCGCCGTTGAAAACAAGCGAAGCAGATATCAAAGAAATGCCCAAACCTATGGCCTCTGCGCTAACGCAATTTTCCGAATGGTGTAAGGCCTTCCGCCTCACCGCGACGAGGGTCAAAGTTCGTTATGTCTACTCCGAGGCCATCGCGTTCTGTCATGTTCTACGCCATCAGCAGCTACACGGAGGGGCACGAAGTGCCAACTGGTACCGCAACAATTGGGGTTACGACCGATTGGAGCTTGACGCCACGTGTTACGGCCCGCGCGGGAATGCTCCGACAGCATTCGATGTTATCGACACATCCAATCTCACAGACCACCTCGGTATACTCAACGTACTTGCTGCTGCTGGTCCTCTCCTTGTCAGCAGACTGGCTGCCACTATCAGAACGGAAGTTTTCATCCCACCAGAGACTACAGCCTCTGAATCGGCTAAAGCACTGCTAAGCGGCGATCTACCCACCGTTGCACTTCTGCTTGGTCTGAAGCCCGTACATTTCTGGTCCGACGCCACCGCTTCATGGCATGTCAACGACTCCATCGAACTAGACTCAATTCATGCTGCAGCCATGGTTAGCTCTATGTCTAGACAAATCATCCTCTGGGGGCCTACAGAAACAACTAGGGTCGAGTGGATAGCGCCGAGCCTTGCCGATTTTGTCTTCAAAATGTATCACACCATGTTTCAAGACGAGAACCTACATAGTCTGCTTGGTTTACTCAACACGGGATCCGAAGGTATGCTTGCCCGCAAGCTTCATACATACGAGATGTATTCGCGAGCAAGTTTGGCAGTTATTCTACTGCATATCAAGAACTCGGGAGTTGTCGAATGGCGTCCTTTCATTGAAGGATTTCTCGACATGGTGATTCAAGACAGAACACTTATGTTGGGTGGACATTCCTATCAATCACTTCTGGTGTATATCCAAATGCTTGGTCTGGCTGATCTCGCAACGTTTGCTCATTGGCATCCGGTTTACTACCAAAAAGAACTACAGAAGGGCCCATTACGAAATTGGAGTACTATCCCACCAACAGTATGCGTCACAATGGCCGTACCACATAGTGCGGTTGCGATGTTCGCAGATCTCTTAAATGGATGTGGTACGCCGCAGTGCCACATCATGACACAAACCTCTTTGTCGGCGAAGCAGAATGTCTATCCTGATATTCAACTCGGTTTTGGCACGATCACAACTTCGGGTACAAAATTCACAGATGATTACACGTTGAGCATCAAAGACGATTCGCAGGGCTGGTCAGGCAAAGCACCGCTGATCGTTTCGACCATGGTATCTACACTTGGACTGGTATTCGAAGGCGATCCAGCTTGCGAAGTTAAGCTTTGCTTAAAGAGTACGCCGTCTATTGCTGCCAAATTCGCACACAGCCTTGGTCCATTGCTCGAGCTTTATGGGTCGGCGGTCGGTCGGAAAGATGTTCATATCACGAGACATCGCCCACATATGACTGGTGATGTCTCAGTTGGAGCTATAGAGGAGGTCAAATCCGGACTAGGTAAGTCAGCGTTTGCGCTCAGCGTCATACTGCCTTCGCATGGACTGATCATGAGTAGATGGCGAATTCTCAATCACCGTGAAACCTGCATTGGACTCTACTGGCAGCAGGGTATCCACCCTCGCAGTGCACTTCAAGACCTTATCAGCCAAAGCCACAGCATTCTTGCAGAGTGGAGGCTCCGTAGATGTACAGTTGCGAGACCCTTTCAATCTAGTATTGAAGGTCTACAGCGGAGATGATCTGTGTCAGGAGACAGTCCAACTTCCGATGCCCCTGGAGTCATGTCAAGGTCAGACCAAGATTGCTCGGAAGTCTATGTGGATTGAGTACTCGGCACCCGTCGCAGACTCAACATCCTTATCTACACAACCAAATGCGCTGTTTCCGTTGCGAAAACACCCAAGGTATGTCGGTAACCTCCATAATTTTCACGTCACTCATGCCCAATCTAGGTCATCTACGGTTGAGCTAGAACAACTTCATTACGTATGCCCCGATGTCCTACCTGTTCTCCATATCGACACCAAAGGCCCGCATGCTATGTGGCTAAAATGGCTTACATCTGGCAATGCTACCATGTCGGTTTCAGAGCTCGACCTATCCAGGAAGCTCCAAAAGAGGGGCGAAGCGCCACTTGGGCGTATGGGAGTCAAGGATCGGATCTTCCAGATGATCTCACAATTCGCGGACCTCAACAGCACCGCCCGATGCTCTAATTTCCGTATTGAGGATGCCCATGGCACTGTCGCGATCGTCATGGTCCATGCCATTCGTATGGATTTGTCTAACCAGACTGTCTTTTTGGACGCTGCGGTCATTGCGATGCTCAACACCTTACCCAAGGAGTGTACAGCAGCCGTAGAGGGGTTAGCTGATATGGATATGGTTGGCTTCAAAGTCTCTGATCAAGAGGCCCTGTTCTGGAAGCATCTCCTACCAGCGTTCGCGGAGCGGTGTCGCCAGTGGCAGCACAAGCCTTCGTGCGAGTACAAGCAACAAGACATGGTTCCGATCTGTACTGTGCCAGGAGAGAGCTTCATGTGCAGTTGTGGGTTAGGCACCTTCCCTGACGGCTATCTGGAGAATCTTGAAGCTTTCAAATCTCTAGCACGGTTCTCCGTCCGTGTCGCCATTCCCGTCATCTTTCCTTCTCCCGTCAGCCGAGATAGCTCTGCACCAGGTCTGCCAACAAACATCAACGAGCCGAGCCATCCGAAGCAGGACTGCTGCAACGTATGCAGTGCGCGCAAGTCAAGTGATGGAAAGCCGTTGCAACAGTGTGCGGGCTGCAAGATAGCGCTGTACTGCTCCTCGACATGCCAGAAGAAAGATTGGAAGAAGGGCCACAAGCAATTGTGCTCACAGTTGAAAGAGGACTAGGATACTTGACTGCGTTCAGTGTCATGGTAGATGTAGGAGCTACATTCTACAAGCACGCCTACTGCAAAACCTAGGTCCGGCTTCCTCGACGACACTCAAGCTGCGTCAGTGGCCTACTTGCTTGGGATGGAGGGGTCGATTGGAGGACTTGTGACAAATCTGGCGCTCATCTCTGGCGATCGTTGGGTACCAAGGCTTGGAAGTATTGACGTGGACAGACGGTGCTAGTTTGATCACACCATGTCAGAATGCAGAATGTTCAATACTACTAGTATGCACGATGTTTTTAGCACACTGTCTGTCGTGAAGCTTTGAAGGGTCGCCACGAGGCTGTGATGTGTAGTGGCCGTCTGCTGGTTGGCCTTGGGGTGGTCTGAGCGGCTCTTTGTCGGCTGGTGGATGTAACCTAATCATGATGCAAATAGCGATGGTCAGGCGACGTGTACCTGCTCGTTTTCTGCCGCCTACCCCGGACCTGCGTCAACGGGTCCACAACCCCGCAAACATCAGCAGCGTTCCACGATACCGGCGACAGCGCAATGTACGACAGCATTTCGATTTGTGAAGCAAGCTCGCGAGTGCAGTATGACGACAATTGTCCAGGGAGACAATGGGGCAAGCAAGCACGTGGGGCGCAAAGGGTCCTGCACGGTGGTCCAAGAATAGACACTAGCGGTTATCGATAGATGCAGGGTGGCGATAGCGGAGCGCAACACCAGGATCGTCAGGGCAGGCCATGCAGGGACGATGTTAGCTGTCAACTTTTCTTTTCGAGGGGTGGGCTTCAAAACTGTTTCGAGAGTTGAAGCGCGATGGAAGTGCTCACGAGGACGCCGGAAACAACGTTTGAAGTGCGACGCTGCCGCGGATGCATTTAACACGCGACACAAACGGCTAGCCTTTCCGTGATTTACGGCCTAGCGTGATCGTAGGCGGATGGAGCCCCGTATCTGCGCGGCGGGCCACCCCTTCTTCAAAGAGAGTGTCGCCGCTCGCTCCTGCCTCGATTCACTCCCTCAGTGCCCTTTCTTATCCTTCGGGACCACCTTCGCTTTACTAACCTGGCAGTTTAATCTTTCGTTTCCTAAAGACTCTCGCTTTTCGAAACTTCTTCGCCGTACCATCTCAGGGGAACACAAACCACGAATTTCACGCGTGCGCCCTTCCCTTGCTCGCCGCACAACCGCCCGGGCCCCTACACCTGCTGTTTCATCCAACCATCGAGCGTACCTGCCCACGATAACTACAAGAGAGGTCGTGATACCATCATCTTGATCGCTGCGCTACTCCACTTGCCGACGATAAGGTGCTTACACGACATCGACGATCCCGCAAACGGTCCGACATCATGGTACGAAGTCTGCTGTCCGCCGCCTTTACGGCGACAGTACTGGTAGGCACAGCGCTCGCCGGAGCAAAATGCACAAAGGATAGCCACTGTCCTCAGGACACGCCCTGCTGCTCTCGTACGTGTCGCAAAGTTCTGTCGCATCGGGGTTGGTGCTAACAAATTCGCAGTATATGGCGACTGCGGTGTCGGCGCTTTCTGCCTCGGTGGCTGCGATCCCCTCATGTCACACAGCTTCGACTCGTGCGTTCCCGGTCCCGTGTGCAAATCCGGCAAATACACACTAGACAACCTCGACGATGTGCAGACCATCGACAAGTACCTCGGCGATGCCTCCAAGATCAACTGGCAGTCGCAGGGCATGCCCACGATATACACAGACCCCAAGACCAAGGAGAAGTCAACGCTCTTGACTATGGCGCAAGGGACTGTCGGGACACTACTGGCATCTACCTACTACGTTTGGTACGGCAAGATCTGCTCCAAGCTTTCCACGGCGCAGGGCAAGGGTGTCGTCACTGCCTTCATTCTTATGTCGGATGTTAAGGACGAGATCGACTTTGAGTGGGTTGGCGTAGACACAAGCCACGTGCAGTCCAACTTTTACTCGCAGGGTGTCACAGTGTGTAAGTAATCCGACATTTGGGCTTAGCCACCCTCGTACATGACTAACGCGATTTCAGACACCAACGGCGAAAACCTTACTGTACCGGACGCGAACACGGTCGAGACCATGCACGAATACTGCGTTGACTGGAAGGAAGACACCCTGATATGGTCCATCAACGGCAAGGAACAACGCAGACTTGAGCGCTCCGACACATGGAACAAGACATCCGGCCGCTTCGACTACCCCCAGACACCCGCGCGCATCATGCTTTCTCTCTGGCCCGCCGGTCTGCCCTCGAACGAAAAGGGTACCATTGAGTGGGCAGGAGGAGAGATCGACTGGAACTCGCCCTACATGACTAACGGATACTACGCTGCCCGCTTCTCAGAAGTCACCGTCGAGTGCTACGACCCACCGGAGGGTGCGCAGATCAAGGGAAAGAAGACCTACAAGTACACGGATGAAGCCGGTACTAACAACACCGTCGCCATCACAGACGATTTAGTCGTTCTGGGCTCGCTCATGGGCACCGGCGAGAACCCAGGAGAGGCCAAGGACAAAGACGACGATTCCAAGGCCACCGACGTTGCCATGGTACCTGGCGGTAACCCTGGAGGTGGCGCTGGACGAGAAGTCGCCGAGACATCAGCTGCCGTACAACCAAATTCGCCTGCGCAAGAGACGGGCTCGTCTGGAAGCGGCGCCACCGCTGAAGGCCAGTTCGTCCAAGGTACAACTGGCAGCACTGGTGCTGGATCCGTCATCCAGCCCGGCCTCGGACGCATGGGAGGATCCGTCTTCGCCATCATCGTCGCCATTATGGGCTTGATCGCGTTATAATCGCATTACCCATATTTTCTTTTACCGTCTTATGCCCTTTCTCATGTCTGTCTGTCCGTGTCTATCCTTGGCGTTTAGTTCGATACCTGTGGTCTTGTAGTTTTGTGTACTGGGGAACAGGGGTGAGACGGGTTGCATACTCCCCCTCGTCGTCTTGTGTATAGTGCATACATTTTCCTTCCTCTTATCGTCCATCTCCCGCAGTCTTCTGGTTATGACATATATCCTGTCTAGATGGTTGAATCTGTTTGATACAATAAATGTAATACCGCATTTCCATCCGCTGCTTCTTTCTTGATATATTGGGGATTGACGAGTAAAGGGTAACGAAGTAAAGAGTTTTGGTCGAGCTGCAGCATACCCGGATCATCTACAGAAAGCCTCCATCCGGTCATGCACCGCATATGCATGCCCCGCGCGAGCATGGAGGCATATATAAGATGTTCGCAGCATCTCGCCGCAAAGGTATATCCAGTACTAGGATACCTGTCAGCACTACAGTGGTGGGTCTCGGCTAACAACCCCAACCGTTCAGTAGATGCATAATCTCTCCGGCCCCTGTAAACTACCATGTTGATGACTGCAGCCTCGTTGGACGGGAGACAAGATGAGCGAATTGGAAAGAGCTTGGTATGCGGAGTGTTATCTGATGCTGGCCTTTGCATGGACAACATACTTGACCGATGAGATGGGTCGGAACATAAAGACAAGCCCCTCGGAAGAAGGTTGCTCTGGCGTGGAAGGTCCCTTGCCGCTCGATTCCTACGGCAGGTTTGGAACACTCTGCAATCAGTCGACACTTCTTCCACATCACCATGTTTCTCGCACTCTACGCTCTACTAACTGCCCTGGTAGTAGTAGCAGCCTACAGTCTCCGCAACGTCGGTCGCAGGCCCGCCAACTACCCCCCAGGCCCACCGACACTCCCCATCATAGGAAACTTGCATCTAATGCCGAAAGAGAAGCCGCATCTACAATTCAAAAAGTGGGCCGAGGAATACGGCCCAGTGTATTCGCTCATTTTGGGTACCAAGGTCATGGTCGTGTTGTCGTCGGATCAGGCTGTGAAGGATCTGCTTGATAAACGGAGCGGGATCTATTCGTCGCGTCCGGATATGTATCTTGGACAGATTGTGAGCGGTGGGTGTCGTATGCTGCTCATGGTAAGTCTTTTCGATAGTGTCGATTGGTGATTGAGTTGACAGCGGTAGCCGTACGGCGATACATGGCGCATGATTCGGAAGATTGTTCATCTCAACCTCAATGTCAAGGCGGCGCGTACGTATGTGCCATATCAAGAATTGGAGAACAAGGCCATGCTTGTCGGTTTCCTGGAAAGTCCAGATCTCTTCATCGACCATATTCGTCGTTACACAAACTCTCTAACCACGCAGATGATCTTCGGATTCCGCACTACAAGCATCGACGACCCCAAGTTAAAACAGCTTTACTCGGTAGGTCGAACCTCTGGAATCTATTGTCCCTCTAACACCACCACAGGGCTTCGAGAAGTTCTCCGAACTCATGGGTGAGACTACAGCCAAACTAGTCGACCTCTTCCCCATACTGCGCTCATTACCCGACTTCGCGCTTCCCCTACGAAAATACGCAAAGGAACTTCACGAAAAAGAGAGCGAGCTATACGTCGGCCACTGGCTAAACGTAAAGAAAGCAATCAAAAACGGGACTGCCAAACCATGCTTCTGCGTTGACCTAGTACGCGCGCAAGACGAGGAGAACTTTTCAGACGAGCTCGCAGGCTACGTGAGCGGTTCGTTACTGGAAGCTGGGTCAGACACTACATCCGCCACACTGATCGGCTGCGCGTAATCCCACTCCCCCTCAATACCCAAAAGTCATTGCAACTAACCCCCCGCAAAGTCATCCAAGCAATGATCCTCTTCCCCACCGTCGCAGTCACCGCCAGGGCAGAACTCGATCTAATCTGCGGCGCCCGCCTCCCCACCCTCTCCGACCTACCCTCCCTCCCCTACATCCGCAGTTGCGTCAAAGAAAGCATGCGCTGGATGCCCACCGCCATCCTCGGCGTCCCGCACGCCGTAATCCGTGATGACGAGTACATGGGATACAAGATCCCCAAAGGCAGCGGTGTGCTGTGGAATGTCTGGGCCATTCATAACGATCCGGCTCGGCATGCTGAGCCACGGAGATTTGATCCACAAAGATATTATGAGGATGCGC